GAGATCCGCGTCACTGCACTACCGACCAATCACGCGACCAGTACTCGACGTCACTACCGAATAAGATTTGAAACAAACAACAATTTTTATGAAAAAATATATTATTTAGTACCGTAAGTACTAAATAATACTTAAATGAAAAGTGATGCTGTGGGTGTTATTTTTAGTTCTTGAGCAATTTGAGCACTTTTTAAAAACACACTTAGGCATTGTTTTATCATATAAAAACAAAATATTAGCAATATTTCTTATTGGCGTTCACATGTACGTCGTTTGCATGTCAAGTCGTGGCTAAAGCGATTAGGGTCGTGGACCACAATTCATGCGGATCACTTTTGTGAGGCTAGTGCCGTATCTACCCTTTTTGTTTTAATCTAAGAGCACAGACGGCGCCGAGAGCGGCGTGGAGCAGGACGCATATATCAGCGCGAGTGTGGCGGTGGCTGCGCAGGTTCTGGAAGCGGTGGTGCCGCGGAGGGCGGGGCGGAGGGCGCGGGGGGCGGCAGGTAGTGCCAGTAGGGGGGCGCGTCCGTCGCCTGCGCCTGGCACGCGGCCGCCAGCCCGCGCCAGCTGAAGCGGTACGCGTACCTCTTGCCGTGGACCTGGGGATAATCATTAGAGATGGGCGTTTTTAGATATTTGTGAAATCGATGCGCATCGGTATCAGATAAATCGCATCGGATCCGCGCACCGATGCCCAGTGAATGTCAGTATCGTAATATCACTAACTTTTCAGTGCCGGTGGCAAAAAATGGAAGTACAATTTATCCATAGCATTGTGACATTTTTATGACATATTTGTTCACCGCTAGCGACATCTTCATCGGCACAAATAAGTTTGTGGCACTGTTGCTATAGTAACGTTGGCAAAAACCTGGCATCGTTATCGCGCATCGTTATTTTAAAAACGCCCACCTCTAATAATCATTTCTTTTATTTTTTTTATTTATTTAATAAGGAACAAACAGTCATACATAATATCATATGAACAATTTCATCGTAACAAACTGACCTAACAGTTCCATAACATATGACCTAAATTATAAAATAATGAACTTAATAGAAGTGGTAAGTTGAGGAGCTCGATGGCGCAGGTGGTTAGCGCGTTCGGCTGCGATCGTTGAAGTTAAGCAACTTTCACAGTAGTCATTGGATGGGTGACCAAAAATCTTCTATCTCGAGTTCCTCCGTGCTTTGGAAGGCACGTTAAGCAGTTGGTCCCGGCTGCATCTGCAGTCGTTAGCACCCGCCAATCCGCACTGGGCACGCGTGGTGGGTCATGGCCCTATCTCCCTATTCCATCCATAGGGAAGGCCTGTGCCCCAGCAGTGGGGACATTAATAGGCTGATGATGATGATGAATAGAAGTGGAATAACACCATAATTTAGAAAAGAAATTCAGTACAACTTTTGAGCTAAATGGTATAAATAAATAATAAAATAATAAATATTTCCGACACTCACACCAATTAGCCTAGCCCCAAAGTAAGCACTATAAGGCTTGTGTTATGGGATGCTAGGGTAACGGATAGAATACATATACTGTACATATATAAGTATATTTATATGAATACATATTAAACATCCATGACTGGAGTACAAATGCACGTATTCATCACACAAACATCTGCCCCCACCGGGATTCGAACCCGGGACCTCTCGAGTCGGCTACAGCCATGAAACCCGGCGTACAAACCACTCGGCCACGGAGGTCGTCACGGAGGTATCAATAAACGAAGGGACAAACCTCCAATCTGCAGTATCAAAATCTGCTGTATCATTATTTTGACATACGTTGCTCGACGCAATATATGACTTGAGCCTCGATGACAAAAGGGCGAGTTTACAAGCTGCTAACGAACTCGCTGGTTTTTAGCTTGTGAACTAGCCCTGTGTCATCGAGGCTTTACGGAGTTGCCACAATCTCATTAGTATAAAAATCCTTCCCCCCGCCAATGTTATTTAGCATCAGGTTTGAGTGGTTTTGAGAAAGTAATGAAACTTTTTAATGAGGACAACATTAAAAAGTCGTTTAAATATCACACCCTATTTGGTATTGGCCAAAGCCCTATGCAGCAGAACAGTGATAGATATATAGTTTAACTGTGTTTAATTACAAGGGATTTTCGGGTAATCCATATATATAAAACTCAAAGGTGACTGACTGACATAGTGATCTATCAACGCACAGCCCAAACCACTGGACGGATCGGGCTGAAATTTGGCATGCAGGTAGACGTTATGACGTACATCCGCTAAGAAAGGATTTTGATCAATTCTACCCCCAAGGGGATAAAATAGGGAATGAGAGTTTGTATGAAACTTTGTCAATTTTAAACCGATCGGGCTGAGACTTTGCTTGAATCATAGATGAATGTCATTGTGTATAATACAAGCCTGAGAACAAAAACTGTAGTCTACACTTCAGCTCTACACCGAAGCGAAGCGAGGGCGGGCCGCTAGTAAATATATATGAAGTTAGGAATTCAACACTCCAAACTCCGAAGCAGAAAATCGAGAAATTTGAATTGGCAGTGCTGTTCGCACTTTTGTTGGCTGAATGTCCCAGATACTCATAGCACGTGCTTTACTTCACACTAATATTATAAAGGCGAAAGTTTGTGAGTGTGTATGTTTGTTACTTCTTCACGTCTAAACGGCTAGAGCGATTTTAATAAAATTTGGTATGGAGTTAGCTGACACCCTAGATTAAGACATAGGCTACTTTTATCCCGAAAAAATGTTAGGTTGCCATAATAAACCGCGGGTTACAACGCGGGGCGCAGCTAGTTTGACTATAAATTAAGAGCTACTGACCTTGGTCATGATGTTCTTGTCGTAGTAGTATCGGAGCGCGCGCGACAACTTGTCGTAGTTCATGTTGGGCTTCTGTTTGCGGCGGCCCCAGCGGCGTGCCACCTCGTCGGGGTCCGACAGGCGGAACTCTCCCTCACCTGGGGGACCCTGGACATAACCAATAAAATTAACGTAAACTTTTAAAATAAACGTTTACTAATTCTGACAATTGACAAATTACCAGTGTCCAGGCTTTCCCAGACATTAACCTTGAAGGAGCTCGATGGCGCAAGTGGTTAGCGCGTTCGGCTGCGATCGTTGAAGTTAAGCGACTTTCGCAGTGGTCGGTCATTGGATGGATGACCAAAAATTTACCATCTCGAGCTCCTCCGTGCTTCAGAAGGCACTTTAAGCCGTTGGTCGATAAAACCCACTAATCCGCACTGGGCCCGCGTGGTGGGTCATGGCCCAATCTCCCTATTCCATTTATAGGGAAGGCCTGTGCCCCAGTGGGGACATTAATAGGCTGATGATGATGATGATGAACCTTGAAGTACCGACGTGCGGTCTGAGAGGCCCCGGTGGGTACTTGACTTGTTAGTTTACCCCTTTCCCCGCACAATACCGATTCCCGCTTTTCAGTAGCTGGTCGGATAGTGCCGACGATAACATCAGAACAGGCAGTGTTATTGACGCGAACATATTTGATGATTTGAAATTCTGACGCGGTCTCTCAGACCTCATGTCGGTAGTAAGTTTTTTGTTTTGCTTTGTGCTAGAGTAAACTTTTACTTTCACAGATATTATGAACTTTAGTAACACTAGGAACTTTCGGTCCACGGACGGAATAGTTGTGCGTAGATCTCGGATATGTATTATCATCATCGGACTATTAATGTCCCCATCGCTGGGGCACATGCACTACCTATGGATGGAATAGGGAATTGGGCCATGACCCACCACGCAGGCCCAATGTGGATTGGTGGATGCTAACGACTGTAGATGCAGATAGGACCAACGGTTTAACGTGTCTTTCGAAGCACGGAGGAGCTCTAGAGTAAATTTTTGGTCACCCATCTGATGACCGGCCACCGCGAAAGTTGCTTAACTTCAATGATCGCAGCTAAAGGCGCTAACCACTTGCACCATCGAGCTCCTCTCAGATATAATAATCCATATAATAATCATAAATAATCCAAATAGTGATCAGCGAGTGATTGAGAATTGGCAAGAGCGAGAGTTTGGCATGAGTACTTGGTTCTGATAAGCCAGAAACATGTGAAAATGAAGCTATGGAAGTCAAGACGCAAAGAATTATCTTTAATGCCAACCTAAACTGAAAATAAAATCGACCCATAAAAACTTTTCATGCAAAAAACAAGTTTGTTTGCAGTGAGCAAAACAAGTGTGCCCTGGATGTGCTTTGAAGTTTAGGTGTACTTAGACTGCGGACATTTTTTTATTCAAAAGGTTTATATGTTTCCTACATATATTTTTTTAATAGTTATATTACTCGTAATTGAAAATTTACTATTCATTGTTATTCTGAGCCGAGTATCTTTTATGTTTTCATTTTTTAATATTAAGTTAGTAAAACTTAACTAAATTTAAAAGGCCTGCCTGTTACCGTACTGTGGAAATAAATGATAAAATGTAATTAATACATTAAATGTATTTTACAAATTTTGTTACCACATGCCCCCCTCCGACGCCGCCCGCAGCATACGGGTATAACTGATCTATACAGGTTTATTGTGTGTAGTTAAATAAAAAAATAAAATTAGCCTTTATTGCTGTTAAACTTACAAATCATTTTCTTAATAAAATTAACTATTTTTTTATTTTATTTTTTATAATTCTTAAATATCAGCGTTCGGGTACTTATTTTTAGAAACAGCTTGTCTTTCGACATAGGCCTCCACTAAAGATTTCCACTTCGCTCTTCCATCTTTTGCAACTTTGATCCATTCTGGACCAGCCACCTTTTTAAAATCATCATCCCATCTTTTCGTTAGCCCACCTTTGTTTCTTTTACCGTTTCTTGTATACCACTCTGTTATAATTCTGGTTCATTTCTCTAGCCTTTCTCTTAACATATGTCCGGTCCATCGCCATTTTTGTGTTCGATATACAGAAGTTACCTCCCAGCAGATACCCGGCGCGCCGGCCGCTAACTCCTCGAGCAGGAACTGCCACAGCTGCATCTATCCCCCTCCACCGCAGCCCGCGGCACATCCCACCACCGTGCGGATGCAACTGCTCAACGCAGGTTTATTGTGTGTAGTTACCTCCCAGCAGATACCCGGCGCGCCGGCCGCCAGCTCCTCGAGCAGGAACTGCCACAGCTGCACCTGCCCCCCTCCACCGCAGCCCGCGGCACATCCCACCACCGTGCGGGTGCAACTGCTCAACGCAGGTTTATTGTGTGTAGTTACCTCCCAGCAGATACCCGGCGCGCCGGCCGCTAACTCCTCGAGCAGGAACTGCCACAGCTGCACCTGCCCCCCTCCACCGCTGCCCGCGCCAGATCCCGCCGCTGCGCGCGCGCAACTGCTCAATGCAGCGTATGGATCTGTTGAAGATTAAATAAATATGGAGTTAAGATATATAAATTATCGTACATACTTTTCATTAGTGATGGGCAGAACATGTATTGCATTGAATATCCGGTTTAACTTTTACCGCACCGAATATTACTTATTATTATACAGGGCGTCCCACGGCTACCTAAAACGGAGGGAAAGTATATTAAATATTGAAGATAGGACATTTTACTGAAAGAAGACATCGTTTTATTTTTAATAATAACTAGAACTGCATTCACTGTTTTTTTTAAATCGCCTGCTACAACTGGGTATCAAACTCGTGAAATTTCGAAAATAAAAACACGACATATTTTATGATAGCCATCGTAAGGGTTAATCAAAAGGATATTTTTTGCTAAATAACATAGCATTTTAAATGTTTACGCTAACCATGTAAATCGACGCCGGACGCATCATTTTAATAATAAATAAGGTTTCAAATTACTGTATCTGGATCCAAACAAGAGCTGTACATTATTTTGTTCAGTTATCATATTTTCATTTACTGTTATAAAGACATATGGCTACAGAGACACAAAAGTATAAAGCTACACACTAATGGACTTCTGTACCCCTAGCACGAACCAATATCGAATTCGTAACGTTTGCGAGTCGGAAATGTCATTGTCAAAAGTGTAGTGATTTTTAGTTTTCGATACGTACTTTGTACCGCTGCTGTTCAAGTTTCCATACAAAATTTGACATTGACATTGCGGTTTTCAAACTATTCGAATTTGATAATGGTTCGTGCTAGGGGTACGTAGTTCTTACTAATATTTAACTATACTAACTTGCAAAACTAAAAATCGCATTTCTAAAATTTCCATATTTTCTAAAGTACAGAAGTTAGAGATTTAAAATGAAAATCATTTTACAGCAATTTTTATTAGCTTTCTTTGAAAGTGTTGTACAAAATTAAACTCTTTTTCGAGTAGTTTTTATTTCGAAAGCATATCTTGTGTACTGAAAAAGTTATTGGAATTTTAAAAGAGTGATATTAAATTTTGCAGGCTAGTTCGTTGACATGACTCGTTCAATCAATCATTCTCATTCTAATATAGCGCTCTATAGAGTAACAGTTATTTAAATTATCTAAGTACCACTCTTCCGAATATTCGACCGAATCCGAATGTTAGGTAAACCTACCGAATATGCCGAATATCGAACACGGAACGATTATTCGGCCTAGCCCTACTTTTTCTTATAAACTACACAAATATATTGTGGTAACTACAAGGCAGAACCCTGCATTGCACTGCGCGTGGTACGACACGCACTAGGCCGGTTTTTTTTAATTAAACAGCTGCGTAATGTGAGGACTTTAAAATTGCGATAAAAGTAATAAAATAGAGGTAACTAGCAAACCAGTGAAGCAAATGTTCACCAAAACCTGATTTAAAAAATAAAAATGTATTTAATTAATTGAGAACTTCGGAGATTTTGTGTGGTTTCGTTTGAAATTCGTGATTTCTCGAAAACCGGAAGTGCTACGTTACTCAAATCTGGTTTGTAGTCTTATCAGACTATTCTTAACTTATAACTTAAACATTCTCTTTATCTATCTCTTACGGTTTGGCCGCTGAAACAGCACCACAGACGGACGGACGGACGGACGGACTTGTCTAATAGATAAGAGATATTTTATTCATTACGGCTTACGTCTTTGGAATGCTTTGCCATTGATAATTCGCAGTGCTCGTAAGTTGGAGTTTAAAAATCTAGTACGTGCACACTATCTGTCGACCTAATATTTCAGTAATCTTTAGTCATCTGTAAAATCATAATTAAATATTTCTAACTGGTTTATTATATGTATATAATAAAGATGATGACGGGGTACAGTAAACGAAATTCTATTTAGTCCGTCAGTTAGATGATGAAAAAAATGGGTGCGTGTACTTATGTAGGCGCGTGAGAAGTTATCCTTCTTTGGCATCGTTTAAAATTAGTTTTTAATTGCATGCAAATAATTAATTACAATAAATTAATAAAAAGTCTGGAAAAGGACACAGTCAATAAAGTTCAGTTTTAATTTGAAAAAATAAATAAATAATCAAAATATTCAATTAAAATCGCTACTGAATATAATTTATTAGAACATATGTGATTTGCACTTGTATGAAACTCAAACACGTATTCCGAATATACAAACTAGAAACATGTGGATAAATATTATAAATATGAATACCTATAACTGTTACTTTATTACAAAAAATAAAGATGTGGTTTTTGGTTCTACTACACCAATGGTCAAGAGATGGCGCTGTAGTCTCCTGAATCGCGCTTTGGTTCCGTTGTTCCAGATTAATAAATACTTTTGATAGGCCTTCACAATGCAGTCGTTAGCACCCACTAAATAGAGATTCTATTTCTATTTTGTTGGTAGATTTTCTTAATGTGCGGTAAACACAAAAGTAATTTTTTATGTTACAGTGATGCGCGCGCATCTTAAAATTTCACACTCATAATTTTTTCATAACGCGCCTAAAGAAGTATAACTTCAAAAATAATGGACACGTATTTTTTCTTTGGGCAATCAACCAAAAAATGACAAAGTTATAGCGCGTCAAAGTTTGGGAGTAGGGGCTCGTGACGTCACTTTTGAGTGAATTTTCGCTTATAAGTGTACTCAAACGTGACGTGACATGCGACTTTTCAAATCAATATATCTCTGCAATGTTTATATTATGTGAAAAAAGAAAAAATACGTGTCCAATACTTTTTGATAATCTACCTGATAAACGAAGTAAAAAATATAGTCTATTATATGTGTATATTTATTATACATATATATTTATTTATATGTGGATTTATGGTATTTGATTACTATATAATATTTATTTATCGTTTATTATAGTATAGTAAAGTTAAGTAGGATAATCTTTATATATATAATTCTTCTGTGAGTGTGTATGTCACTGAACTTCTCTTAAACGACTGGACCGATTTTGATGAAATTTTTTGTGTGTGTTCAAGGGGATCTGAGAATGGTTTAGATTCACAATTTTGTCCGCTGGACAACCCCTATTTTTTTAGGGCGGTACGAAGTTCGCTGGGTCAGCTAGTCTTTTTATATATAATTCTTCTGTGAGTGTGTATGTCACTGAACTTCTCTTAAACGACTGGACCGATTTTGATGAAATTTTTTGTGTGTGTTCAAGGGGATCTGAGAATGGTTTAGATTCACAATTTTGTCCGCTGGACAACCCCTATTTTTTTAGGGCGGTACGAAGTTCGCTGGGTCAGCTAGTATATATATGTTTTTCTAACTTAAGTAGCTCGCACTCTATCGCCATAACATTCGTCTCCCACACCCTTACTGGTTGACTGGTAGAGAATGCCTATGGCATTAAGTCCGCCATTTACTATATTTTGGTAAAGAAGAATAAAATAAATAAATAATTATTTTTAAGAACAACAATCATGAAAATCTACAAAATAAAAGTGCGTAGCAATCCTTTCTACTACTACGACGCACCGTAGCAATAACCGTAGCGACTACGACAAAAATGGTAAGTTATTTATAACTCAAAGGACATTGTTCAGCGTCCATACATAGTTAGCCTAAGAACCAACAATCATAAAATATTATTTTCTAGGTTCAAAATCGTAAATAAATGACTGTAAAAACAAAGATTATTGACGGACACTTCTGAGAACTTAAATTATTAGGAAAACTAAAAATTTTTTGAGGTTATCTTTAATATTCAATGAAACATAGGTCAACCTATGAATTTAGTATGAACTCAGTATGAAGTGAGTTAATATTACAACTAATTCATATTATTCGGTGCGATTTTAAAGAATAACTATTAGGAAAAGCTTGGTTAGGTAGGAATCATGAATAAATTAAAAACTGTAGTTTTGCTTCTTATTTATTAACTATTTTTCACATAGTTGTATCATATTGTATATTGTATTTATTTGTATATCACATGTATATTGTGTAAATATGCAGCGTGAATGTGTATCAGGTGTTCTTGAATAATTTGGCAGTATGATCCTCTCAGGATGTTGTGGCACTGGTTCACTAGCACTTCGTAATAAGGGCCCTGCTCTTTGGTAACATCGATGGCATATTAGATAGCCGAAATAGTTAAATTAAAGGAAAAACAATCGCAAATATACACACCACAGGTAATCCGAAACTTTCCGGTATATTATACTACTCTTTGGAATGCACGAATGCCACAGATTACTACGAATGCAAACTGCATGCACCACAACCAGTAACGAGTTTTATACCGGCCCTTCACTTGATAACAGTTTGTCCTTGTCATGCTTAATAAGGAATGAAAAGGACAGACTGATATCATGTTTTAAAATAGCAAATACGAATAGCCAAGTGAAGTGCCGGCATTAGGAAGAAAGAGTGTTTTGTTTGCAATGCTGCCATAGATTATACACATAAAATGGTATTTATTATCTTTTTAATTTAGCTTACTTAACTGGAAGTGTCCGTGACAATCTAAATACTGATAATTATCGCAAAAAATATACTAAGAATTATCATAAATGCCAAATTGGTGTTGGTTCTTAGGCCAATTTTAACATTGTCCTTTCTGATTTCTAAATCGGAATCTCTTATCTATTAGACAAGTCCGTCCGTCCGTCCGTCTGTGGTGCTGTTTCAGCGGCCGAACCGTAAGAGATAGATAAAGAGAATGTTTAAGTTATAAGTTAAGAATAGTCTGATAAGACTACAAACCGGATTTGAGTAACGTAGCACTTCCGGTTTTCGAGAAATCACGAATTTCAAACGACACCACACATATTCTCCGAAGTTCTCGCTTAATTAAATACTTTTTTTTTTGTCTTTTTTTTAGGTTTTGGTGAACATTTGGTTCACTGGTTTGCTAGTAGAAGTTATAATTGCTGTGCTTTAATGACGTGGTTGGTAGAGACTGGATCACCAAAGATAAAGATAGAAAAACTTGGAGTTTACTCCACGGAGGAGGCCTTTACTCGCTACTGGGTACTTAATAAA